TCAGCAGTAAACCTATAGCCTGTCCTGATGTGTTAGCAAAAAGGATGCCTGAGCCCTTGAAAACAAAAGCTTAAAAGACCTGAGTGAATTTCTCTTTGACAGCAGTGCAAAAAATCGAAATGTAAATATTAACCAGAAAGCAATGAAAGCATCTTTTGACCCCATTGTGTTCTCAATGGAGAGAAATGCACCCTGGGGTCTGAACATGATGTAACTTGAATAAGTGAGTGTGATTTAATATTTTGTGCTATTTTGTCTACATGCTCCTGTGCTACTGTACAACTCTCATGTTGAATCCTTGAAATGCAGATAACCATGACCTTTCTTTTCACGTTTTTGGGAGTCAAAGTACAGATTAATGGGATTGAAAACCATGCTCATTTTCTACATGGCACCTACCCAGCACTGCTTGCCATCCACAAATATATTTTATGTGCTTTTATATTTCTGTGTACAGTGGCATTCAGTGAAGCTGACCAAGCAGGGCAAGAAACCTTAAGGACTTGTATAGTTGTGTAATGTGTTAATGTTGGATATGTTTTCCAAGATTTGGGGATTTTCGTTGTCATTCAAGCATTAATTAGAAATGCACTTTCCAATCTCTGTTCAGCAATGCATAACAATTAGAATTTGTTGATCAGCAGTTACTTACTGTATTAACTGATCAATTATGTTTTCATCCAGGTTAAATAGTTGTCAGCTACATTGCTGTTACACTGTGCATCTTGAAATTTCCCATTTTACACAAATGTGATTTTTCTTTGCATTAACTAAAAAAGGGCAACTAAATATGCAGAGCCCTGGCAAAATGAACATTCATCACATGGTAAAATTGACCTTAAGACAATTGGATAAATCTGCCAGGTTGTCTGGGATGGCATGTTGGAATCAAATCCTCCATGTTATGGTCCACAACCACAGTTGAGGATCCTCTGTCATTATTTATTTATTACATCATTGTCTTAACTCTCTATTTTACTACTTACTTAACTAGTTACATTTGAACATAAAAGACATAGTTTTTAGAAATGTGGTTACAATAATAATAATGGTACATGCTAAATACAGAAATAGAAAAATTTGACAGTGTTCACTTTTGACAATTAAAGATTTATAAGTGCTTGAAATGGCTGTTTTTGTGAAGACAAACTGCGCACACACACACACACACACACACACACACACACACATTGTGCCTATTCAGTGTAAGATGTCTTCCATCAAAATTCTAGAATAGCGTTACAGAAGACGTTAAGGCTGTTTGTAATATTTTACTGTAATTATGAAGCAGCAGCCTGAAACACTGAAGGATGTTCTCTTGGGTAAAACATAAGCTTTTATTAAGCTTTCATATTTTCCAAATGAGGAGGCACTGAATTAATGCTGCCTGATGGAAAAGTAATATTTCCAAAAATAAACAGATAGATAGATAGATAGATTTTAAAAATCCCTGCAATGAAATTTTATAGGCTACAGTAAAAGTTAAAATTATTCAGACATTTTCAAAAGCATACTGAATTTTAGTGCCAAAACATGTCATACCACTTTAGTCTTGATAGTTACACTGGCTTTACACAAAGGTACACAATAGATGCATTTAAAAAAAGACAATAATTAAGTTCTCTAAGAATTCAAATTCCTTTTCAAAAATGATTAAATTCAATATAAATACTAACAGAACGGCATTACTTAATAATTGTACAATAAAAATGTAATTGTCGATTTCAACAAAATCTTTAAAGAACACAAATCACACTGAGCCAAACCCAGGGCCGAAGCTGATCTATTTAACTACAAGTAGGTGGCTAGCTCGGCCCTGCTCGGCCCTGCTCGGCCACCTTGCTCACCCAGCTCCTTCCACGTGAACCAGAAACTCTGCAGGAATACAACGCATGCGTAACACAACAGTAACATGCCAAACCGGAAGACGTGTCACATAACTCCCGAGTGATTCATCATCTTGAAAACACGATCTTTGCTGCAACTCTTCTGACAGCTAGCAAGCAAGTCTTCAGCGCTCTAAACAAGTAAGATGACAGCTCTGTTATCAACACGCGACCTTATTTTAGCGTCACATTTACACGCAGGGAGAAATGCAGTGTTGTTTTCTTTCTTCTTTCCTGTCATTTTCCTTCGGATCCGGGTGGGGTGTTGCTAAGTGAGGTCGCTCCTCCAAATAGTGCTTCAGCTGTTTTGGACTTCGAGCTGGTTAGCGTTAGCTGAACTTAGCTATAGCTCGCAGGTCTAGCTTGGTACACTAGGCACTTTCTGTTTACCCTGCATTCACCTGGTCTGACAGCTAGGTACCTGTTTACAGTTCTGCTTTGTGACAAACCCATGATATTATTACCACGGTTAAGGAAAGGCTGTGGTGACAGTGCGGATAAGTTCGCTTTTCGCTAGCCAGTTTTTCTCCTTGTCTTTGATTTGTGTTTGCATTAGCTGCTGCGAAAACAAGTCTGCTGTTTATGTGCTTGAGCACCCTGAAAGCACGTTTGTGGGAGATTACCTCGCCAGTTTCATTTAACCTTCTGCATTTCAGTTAAACAGCTGTTTATAGGGAAGAACACCCATACAAAGCGAGGTTGATACTGATGCTTAGCCGTGAGAGACTGTATGTGCTCCAGCCATCAAGGCCAGCAGAGCGCAATAATATTTTACTGCAACAGTTTATGAGTAAATCCACACCAACACAGAATAAGAATGTAAAGCCACAAAACCAGTATATACAAACACTGGTAAGTCTGGAAGTCAGAGCATCAGCATCTGTATAATAAATAAGCTGGCACTTAAATTGAGCCATATACAGTGTATTAATGTTTAATTCAGGGCTCCTATAACTTTTTCATTTTGTACTGTATTTCATTTGACTGGAGGGCCTACAGCTGGATAGGAGAGGCTCGTAGTGGCTTGTCTGATTAACATCACTGCAGCTGCTGTCCTGGTGTCATAGCATTTGCTGGACTGTCTGTATCAGCTCCAGGATTTGTCTTTGGGGACATCATTACTATAGTCTGTCTGTTTATTGCTGAGCTGAAGGAGAGTCTTGAAACTTCTCAAGCCATAACTGAAGCAAACTAAAGTAGGACTGGATTATATAAACAAGAAAATTGTGTTTTTTTTACCTTGACATTGATCATGTATGACAAAATTTGTGTTTTTAGAACATGGCAAACATTACAACACAGTGGGTTCCCAGCATACTGTCAGTAAATAACAGGAGAGGTTTAGGTGTCATACTGTAAATTCCTTATTGGAAGACATGGATGCATTATTACACTTTCACTAAGACTGATGGCAAATATGAAAATGTGAGAAATATGAGAATATATGTGCAATAACCCCTTACTAGACATGTGCAATAATAATACAGAAATGTTCCACAAGGTATTTTTGTAAGAGCATCTCATCAACAGTGTTCTCTTGTGGGACCTGAATAATAGCAGGACATTCTCTACCAAGCAATGGAAACAAGCCTGAATATAAACTGTGTTTTAGTATGTTATAACCCCTCACTACCTCACCAAGCGTAATGACATATCCAACTCCACCATGTGAATTACTGAGTGCGACGTTTGAAGTTCACTGGGGAAAATACTATTACCCTATTTTTGTGTATTGCGGTTTTAATGCTTTGTTGCCTTTATGTAACTTTTTTATTTTTAGACTAAGTGTTCTTTCTGGCTTTGACTCCTTACCTGACTCCAAAAGAGAGCTGCAAAAGAATTCCTATAAGCCTAGACTGTCTGTTTATGCATAAATGACTTGATTTGACCACCGTGGCTAGTTACGAAAGATAAAAGGAAGTGATGTAGAAATTGTCATTTAAAAAAAGGTGTAAGTTGTATATAATTACAGATCCACTGGTGTAGTTTGTCATTGCCTGTTAAACCTTAATATCCTCTAGTATTAATTTGATCTCCATGTGATTTGGAGTTGCATATTTTTCCTAGATATTTTCTCATTTGGAAAAACATCAGGATCAGATAATGTGATAGGTGATGAAATTAATAGTTTCAGGTCTGAGTCTTGGTGATGTAAACTGACATGAAGAAATACTGGCAACAGTTTCACAGCTATGACACTTTTCTGAGCATGATTAAGTAGCAGGAGATTGTACCTCTATAGGAACAAGTTACTAGATGTGCTGTGTTGTAATACATGTCCCAACAATATACTTCATCCATGGTATTCATGTTTCGGAAACTACCATAAACAGTAAAAACAGCAGGTACAATGTATTTGACTGTCAAATTAACGTGTATGACGGTGGCTTTAGACGTAATGGGAAGTGGTTCATTGACAGGTGTTAGATGTCACTGAACAACAGACACTGTTGTGTTCACCAAGCCTCAGAGCCAGTTTCAGTCCCAGCTGCTAAGAGGTCATGCTGTTTGCTTCTTTGAGACTGTCTGGAGTCACCTGGCTCAATCTTGTTCAGATATTTAGGTTGGCTGGGGTTACTTGTAACATGATGTGTGATGGATGCTTTTGCACAAAAGGCTTTCCAGGAACATTAATGCTTACAGGGAAATTAACTCCAATGTCACACTTTAATACCATTATCTAGTTACCTATCCAGACACCACTGTAACTAATTGTTAGAAATGAGTCTTTTTTTTTTTAAAATGCAGATTTGAACACCCTCACAGTCAGAGACAGCATACTGTGGCCAGCAGGGACAAAAATGTCAAAACGTACAAAACTGGTGACTGCTCACAAATGCTGAATTTCAAGTTTATATTGTTAGCATAATCAGACCAAGCCTAACCCTAAACAATGTTATTATCATCTGTACCTTTTGAACAGGTTTGTCATGATGACAGGTCTCTTCAGTGTGCTTATGCCCCATATTCTCCTTGTCGAGCGGGATTCAGGAAAGTGGCTGTCAGAAGGTTCACGTGTTCTTCGCAGGAAGGTCAGCAGGCTCAGAAAGTAGATGGAGTTAGAATGAGCCACACCATCATCTAGAGCCAGACGAGACACTAGACCAAATGCAGCAGCTAATGCCAGCAGAAGGAAAATCAAGGTCTTATCACCTAATCCTCCTACTGAAGTGCCAGAAGTTTGTTCACCTATGCATCTTGCACCCACGCTCATAAAACTGATAAAACTTCCATCAAATAGAATGTGATCATATATTACAAGGTTTAACCTTGAGGACTGTGAAGTCTGCTCAGCCTATAGAAACACAAACTCATACAGACATAATGTGGCTTCTGGGGGTTTTGTGGTCTGCCTGCAGTACATCGCTGGCCACTCAAAGTTCTGTGCAGGAAGTGGCTGGGGAGCAAGGCCTCCATTTGGTACTGTACTGCAACAGGTTGGTAATGACTGGGTGCAAATTTGCTACCATGTTTACAGTTTGAGCCACAGCCAAAAAGGAAGAAGTATGATCATTTTGACACTTTTCAGAAGCCTTGGTTACTGTCGGTTTATTTGTTAAAATGCATTTTATCAAGTGTGTTTGATGAGGCTCATGGGATGGTGCTCTGTACAGTCAGCATTAAGTAATTATAATTCAGTGTGTTTATCACATGCTTCAGGTCCAGTCTGACTCTTGAAGAAGACTTCTGCTCTAAATGACGTAATTTCCCAGCATGCCTTGTTTATTATCTGGGTTCCTTCTCATTGCAGCATCTTACAGCCAAGTATATCAATGGGAGTGTTCACTTTTCTGCTTCGTGCTGTGCTCTGTGCAGCTGGAGCACATGACTCTGTTGCTTTCCACATGTATGTTTTGGTTGTGCATGCATGTGTGCGTATAATTTGCCTGGGTTACTTGTGTATAAATGCCTTTTGTGTGCATATAACCGTGTCACTGTCTGTGAATGAATGCTCCCTTCGTGCATCGTTCCCAACTATGTGTGTTCCTCGGTGGTATTATGACAAACCCCACTGCTGTGTGTAACCCAGTTGTTCAACATTTGCATATAGTCTTAGTGTGTTTACTTTGTTGGCGAAACACAGCTATAATAGAAGTACAATTTTAAGTTATTGCACTCCTTTTGGCAATGCCTATCATACATTTAGGGCTGCAAGAAACCTTTATTATTATTTTCATTATAGATATTTTGTTCATATTTTCCTTGAGTTTATTGTTTAATGTTTACTGTCATCATATAATAATGTAGCAAACTCGTCTCAAAACAGTTCAACAAATATAATAATTATCTGGGGCCCCAAGTTCTTTTATATGGTGAACCAACCAGATTTGAATGTAATTCTGGCTAATTAAAAACAGTGAGTGAAGTCCCAAAACAGTGACTTCATCCTTTTACAACACGAAGGAAGTGAGAGAGCAGAACTGGATTTTATGGGTTATGGTTTATTAATTAAATAAACTGTAAACAAAATGAATACTTCTGCAGTAGTTTTTGATCTATGAAAAGGAAGCTGTTAACTATAATGTGGGGAACTTTGAATGATTAGATAATGGGATTTTGCATGAATCAGAGCCTGACACCAGATCCGTTTTCAGAAGAAGGACAGCTCTTGCCTGTTGTTGTGTCAGTGGATGGGAGGAGGTTATGTGAAACCCTGAGATTTGATTCTGGTTCAGCTCAGTCGACGTTCTGGAGTTTCACTGAGCGGCCTGTTCCGAGAATTCTCTTAGTTGCCTTGGGACTGGTCTAGCAGGCTATGCTGGGTCTCAAATGGCTAAATCAGCAGGCTGTTGGATGCTGAGAGACACGGAGGTGGAATTTGGATGCAAAAATACTAATTGTCTAAAATACTATAAAAATAGAAAAAAAAAATTTAACGTTAATTGTAAATGTGTTCTCATGTGGCTTGACTTGAGAGGAAGAAAAGTTAAAAATAAATGAGAATAAAAAGGAGTCTTGTGTGCAAAGTAATTTCGAAAAAGAGGAGAGAAACAACACCCTGAATTTGACAGATGAGAAAACAAACTTTAGATGTTATTAGTTTTGAGCATCTTGATTTCATGCGCCTTCTGCCCCTGTGTGCAGTGCAAAAAGAGAAAGGATTGTCTGGGCCTTTCAAAAGACAAGCGACCATCTCTGGGTGCTCTGGTGTGGGATCCACTCAGAGAGATCAGAAAATGTTTGGCTTAATTTTATCATGAATTAAAGAATCCAACCAGGCCATCTTAATAAATGAAACCAACGTTTGTAACAGAACTGAGCCTACTGAGATTACCACAGACACACAGAATGAGGGATATTTGGCTACATTCAAAAGTTTTACACCAACACATCCAGATTAGTCAAGTTCAAATATGTCAATCTAAATATATCTGAATGTCGTGTAACGTTAAGTCTAATTTAAGTGAGACACCAAAGATGAACATTTTGTACTGTAAAGGTTTGTCATATCAGGATCCTTTAGTAGGAAGGCGTTGCTCGCTATCACAGTGTATAACTGAAAGTCATGTGGTCATTTACTAAGAACAGTGAAGAGGAATTTGGAGCATTATTTATACAACATTTTCAGCATGTGTCAGTACTGAGTACATGTGACTTTGTGTGATATTGAAGAGAGTTCAGTCTGAGGCCCGAGCTTGTGATCTGATAAGCTTGGTCTTAGCTGCAGGGAGCTTTGCATGGCTGTATGTGAGGGGGTGTCTGCAGAGAAGGGGGTGCATGACTCCACAATGGATGTGTGGAGGTCTTTCTTTAAAAGTTCAGTGGGTGATGGTTCTTCTTTCAGTCTCTTAACTAAAAACACATGTTGATGCCAGACCTGGTATCTTTTCCTGATATTTGGTCCTAGCAGGGAGCTCTTCCTTCATGGTGATAAAAGGCCCAAGGGTGTTCGTTTTTAGCAGATTACTCCGTCCTTCTGTAATAAAACCTCTGTGCTTGCTCTGTGAAAACATTTGCAAATCATATCCTGAGCGGCAAAGTGAGGTCATGAGTTTCAGAGTTTGCTGTCAGCTTTGTTACATTAATTAATCTGCTGCTGATTTTTTTTGTTAATTGAGTAATTGTTTGATGTAAAATGTTGGAAAACGGTAAAGAACGCAGCTGAATGTCTTGTTCTATCTTCTCAAGCCTCCCATAACTGCTGGTGATTACTCGCTAATAAAGGGAGTTTCGTTCTTTACAGTAATCAGTGTTTTAGAACTGTTACAAAAACTTCCTTAATGATACGGTAAAAGCAATGAGCGATTCATCTGTTGTTGCTTTCATGCTTGCTTACTGGTATCAACTAACCTTGCATGAAGGCATTTGTTTGTGGTTTAGTTCAGATAATGAGCCAGCAAGTTGTAACATAGAGACAGTGGGTTTTGCTGACGTTTGCTTGCCTTTTGGTGCAGTGCTAGTAATCATACATGCCAAGAGTAGAAGATAAAGTGTGAAATACATAAAAATAATGCTAGACCCACAGCAATTAAAGATTAAAGCATCAGCATTAAATCATTTAATGCTCATAAAGTTCTATATCAAGTATGTTGAAAATGGAGCCATCCAGAGGGAAGCTTACTGACCTCATTTGGCTGCCAGCTTGGCCTGCTCGAGACTGGGACAGCCAACTGGCAAATGCTGCAGTGATCTGGAGGAGACTTAGTCACACCCTCACCACTGAAAATTTTAGGATTTGTGCAGCAGCAGGTTTTAGGTCAGGCTTACAAAGTGCCCTTCCTTTCATTATCTGTGAGATAATGACACCAGACTTGCAACCTAAAAAATGTGGCTTACTAAAGTTGTTTGCCCGGTGTCTGGTACTAAGGAAAGAAATAACACGTGCAAGGTTGTAAACACCACCTACTCTGTTTATGACTTTTATAATCCTGTAACTCTAACTGAGGAAGTATCTCAAAGAAGAATTCTTACAGACCACCTCATTTGTTAGAAATGCTTAACCTGTTTGCTGGAATACCAGAAAAAAAAAACACCAGAAGAATCTAATGCTGCTCCTTTTGCTGTATGTGCAGGCTGCCCTCTTACAGAGCTTGGGTGTACAGGAGAGGGAAGGGGAGAGCTGTAACCCTGGTCTCCTCAGCCCACCCTGAGTAAACCAGCCCGCCATGGATGACAGCTCCTCCTTGGGAAAAGTCAGCAGTTCTACTGAATCTGTGGCCACCGTCACCAGTGAGGAGTTTGTTCTGGTACAGTCCAGTGCTGCTGGGTCACCACAGGGCTCTGAGGGCAAACCAAGACTCAAGGTCAGAACTACACATGGACACACTTTTACATCTGACTTGAACATTTCTGCTGTATGTAATATCCATTCTCCCATAATAGAAATGTGTTCATAATTAAGTTACTTGAAGGCTGCTGGTCAGGTTTGTAGCTCCAAAAGGTCAAACATAGCAGCTACAACACCTTCTTCACATCACACTCGTCCTGGATTTAGCAATCTTCGTTGCCTGTTAATTCGGTCAAATGTGTCTCTGGCCACCACTGATCACTAGTGGGTATGTTTATTCCTGGATTGTCTATGGTTTTGCTGTGTGATAACAACCTAAGAAAGCATGTTAAAAGCAAGTGGAAACAGGCATTTACCAAAGCATTGACTCAGGCCAGGAAGTGCCACTCTGTCTTCATCTATCTTTATGTATCCTTCCCTTTGCCGCCCTCACCAGGTTTTGTCTGCCTCTGTTTGTCTTTGTCCCGCATCCTCTTGTTTTCTTTTCCACTCTCCCCTAGATGTCTTGGAATGGGAGTGAGCAGTTGGAGAAAGCTATGGAGGAGGTTTTGGATGATGACGACGACGATGATGATGATGAGGTGAAGGTGGAAAAGAGCAGTGTAGAAAAGATGGAGAAACACAAGGACCCAGAGAGCCGACTTTCAGGTACACACTGGACCTCTGAGGTCCATTTACAGCCACTGTGTCTTAAAGTTACAGTCTTTCATTCACCATTCAACCCTGCATCATCAGAGTGTGTCTATATCTTTGTAGCTAGATGCATGGGAGGGCCAAAATATTAGAAACGCCTGTAAAATACTGATGGTACTGCAGGTGAAAATCTACCCAATCCTACTGGCATTTAAATAGTTAAGGCAAAATGGATCTTTATTTATATTACCCACATGTGAGTTTTTATATTTTGTTAACTGAACAACCGTTAGCTTGTAAAGCTGTCAACTAAAGAAAATGGACAGTTTGATGGATCTGTTTAGTAAAAACAAAATGCTCTGGCCATAATGGAAACGTGTCATAAACAGTCGTTATTTTTTTCTCTGCACAGTGTCAGTGTTTTCTTATACCATGTATTTTTGGAAAATGTCATAGAAGTTAAATTTATTGTGAATGATCTCGCAGTATGTTTTTAATCCTGTCTTTTATTTCACTAGAATTAAACATCAGGGTGGAAATAAAGTGCAAAGCACCCTTGGATCCATAATGTGGAAAACTAAACTGACCACCTGGTACAATCTAGCTATGTGCATAACATTCATATAAGGCTACTTGTGCTAAAAGGTATCAGGTTAACATAGTTTGTGTCTGAACTCTGTGACATTGGCTTATTTGCTCTGTATATCAGCAGCGAGAGGTCGGCCCAGACAGTTTAGCAAACGGCGCAAAAACAACACTGGTCGATATACTGCACTGTAATGGTCAATGGCAGGTACAAGACGTTAGCACAACCAGGATCCAGCCCAGGATCAGAGGAGATAAACTCTAATGAAAAGTACGTCAGCATGTATTTGTGGATGATGTACTGTAGGTGTGTGTTTAGCCCTTCCTCACTTTAAGGTGAATATAACAACTTATGAAACCATGCGTCACAGAGGAAGGAAGCACATGCCTGTCTCTCTCCGGACAAATAGTTGTTTGCTTTGTTGCTGACAATGACATTTGTAGTACAGCAAACTGCAAAAAAATCAAGGAATGTCCAAACATTCGCATGGAGCTAGATAATTATTTTTAAACCTGTTGTACGTGGTGTGCGAGCAGGTCTGTGCATTCTGGAAGCTGATGAATACATGGAAAGAAAGTCAGTAAAGGCTGGAAACCTGTTTTTTGGATGCTCGAGAATATCAATTTCACACATGCCTTAAGAGGACCAACCTCAACTAAAATGCATTTTGAAGTCAAAACTGAACATTTTATTTACTGACTTCCTTTTACTTTATTTTTCCCATCTTTCATGGTACCAGTGTTTGGGGCTGCACAACTGTGGAGTTGACCAAGAGGAAATGTTAGCATGGCAGTGAAGTTCCAGCTGCTCTCATTGTTCTACTTCCTGTTTGCTAAGTGTGAAGGTTTCAGGTCAGCTGTAATTTCAGGGAAGACCATCTCCCCTAAAACTTTGTTTGTCATTGCTTCTCCCCTTCTTCTTGCATTTACTTCTTTTCAGTTGTGTTTTTATGGCTTTGCCTTGTCTGGTTGTCTCTCTTCTTTAATGCACCAGTCTGTGGTAAAGCTCGTAGACTACAGGATGTAAAAATCCAGGAAATTTAATGTTCTCATGAAGGTTTGGCAGTTTGTCAAATGCATACAATATGTTTTTGTTGAATGCTAATTAAACAATTGTTTATTTATCTTTTAAGTTTCAAGTTTTACTAAACCTACAGGGAGAAATGTCTTTGTAGCTTGGAATATGGACAAAAAGCCCCAAGATTACAATTAAACTTTTCAGAAAAAAGCGCAGATATCACAAGCTTTCTGTCTGTCCACAGAACCATGTCCAGTGCCATCCAGTCCCACAGTCCTGGAAGAGGACAGTGTCCAGTTCAGCAAACTCTCCTACCTGGGCTGCACCTGGGTCAAAGCCCCTCGCAGTGAAGCAGAGGCACAGAGGGCCATGGCCACCCTGCGAGCTGAAAGTGCCATCCCCATCCCCATCACCCTGCATGTACCCTGCGGTCCAGATGGCTCTGTCAGGTCAGACAGACAAATGAGACAGACTGTGTGAGACAAAGGGACATAAACTGAGACCTAGATCAAATAAAACAGTTTATAGTAAATGCAAAGTAGATTTGTTTGTTGAGAATTTCATCAATCAATTAAACTGCAGATCAGGAGCTAAAACTCTGGAGAACTGATTAATATATGAGAAGTATAAAGAGTATGGTAACTTTATTCATGGATGGCAGGAGTTGTTGTGAAACTAGAAGATCATATTATGAGTATATGTCATCACACAAACAAATCATTACTGTATTAGAGGCAGGGGAACACAGTGTAGTATGTATACAGAGACTTCTGGGCCTGACTTCTACAGCACTATCTGTTTGATAAAGCAGAGCTTTACCCCACCACACATTGCAAGTTTCAGTATACACAACCTAGGAGCTCAACCAAGTCTGAATTACTGTATTTGCCCGTTAGATGTACCCATCTCATCTGGTGCCTGTTAGCCAGCAGAATAAGTAAAGTTACAGATGAAATGGATATTACATGAGTCTAGAGAAATGTTTCAACCCTCCTGTGTCATGAAATAAAAAGGAACATGAACTGTTTTACCATAGAGGAAATGAGACATGGCTTTTTTGACCATGTTGAAAATTTCTGTATTGCTAGATAACGATGACATGGATGCACTACCTCAAAGTGTTTATTCGTCATATACACAGTTAGGAAACCTGTTTCCCTGGACAATGAAATTCTTACTTTGCCGTCCACATGAATGCCACAAAATAATGTGCAGCAGTCAACAGTCAATGTGCAATTATGCATGTGCAAACTCAGAATGTAAACAGTACAGGTCGACAGTACATGACGTATTTCCTGGTAATAAACTCCTCAGCTGTTTAGGAGTCTGATGATAGAGGGAAGGAAAGAGTTTTTCAGTCTGGAGGTCCTACACTTCACACTTCTGAACCTCCGGCCAGAGGGTAGGGAGGCGAACACTCCGGGCCGGGGGTGGGTGGGATCTTTGAGGATGGAGGCAGCCTTCCTACACACCCTGTGGTAGTAAATGCCCTGCAGAGAGGTCAGTGGAGTCCTGGTGATCTTCTCCACAGTCTTTACCACTCTCTGCAGGCGCTTGCGGTCCATAGCAGTTGTGCTGCCATACCAGACAGTGATGCAGCTGGTCAGGGTGCTCTCAGTGATGCAGCTGTAGAAGTTGCAAAGGATCCTAGGCAACATGCCAAACCTCCTCAGCCTCTTGATTGATGAAAGCCAAAAGCAATATATAGTATCTAATACAAATTGACAACATCTTAATTGTTTGAAAGTGTTTGCTCTGGACTCTCAGGTCACAGGTTAATAGAGAAAATGAATAAAACTTGGATAAATGTTGAAATTGATTTGGCAGAAAATATCAAAAGCAATTAGCTCATTTAGCTAATTTGCTGTTGCACTGAATCTGAGTCTCATGTGATATAAATTCACTGTTTCCAGGATTGTGGACCAGGCTTCAGGTACAGAGATCGCCTCCTTTCCCATCTACAAGGTGTTGTTCTGTGCTCGTGGACAGGAAGGCTCACCGGAGAGTGACTGTTTCTCTTTCACCGAGAGCTACCGGAGTTCTGAGGACTTCCAGATTCATGTCTTCTCTTGCCACATTAAAGAAGCTGTGAGTGTATATATATGTAGTCCACATTACATTAATTGAAATGTACCATGGCTTTGAGTTGTCCCACTGCTTAATAATACTTAATAGTTGTATCTACAGTCTGGAGTGTAGATATAACTTTTTTAATTCAGGTCCTTTAGATGACTGGCTGTTCAGTGATGTTGTTGCACAATAATCAATTGCAGCTATAGAGTGCCTTAGGGATAACGTATTATTGTAGGCCAGCCTGGAAGTTAGCATCTCCCTGGCTCCTTCCACAGAAAGTGCATTAATGTTAACTCAGTTCCAGGTTTTCAGACTTTCTGTTATGGCACTAGAAAGCTTCCTTGTGTTCTTGAAATACTTGGCAATAAAGTTTATGCTTTGCTTTGAAGCTGCTTGGGACAGCAAAGACAATTAGAAAACTAATAGTAAAATTTAGAGTAGATAATCAAAAATTTACATTCCATAGGCATTACATAATTTATGATGGTTAGTAAGGAGGATGAGAATGAGACACACAGGTAAAACATGATCTCTGGTTTCCTTTAAGTATGTTACATGCCTCCTTATGGAAGCAACATTGCTGTGTTGAAGCTACTATGATATACCAGGAGAGCGGAGTGTAGAAGAAATAAATCCACTAACTGTCATGAACACAGTACACCTCCACAACCAGTTCATTCTCAAATGGCAGAATTGTGATGCTGACTACAGGCTTTGTCTTGTACTCTAGTGGTCACAATACAGATATTCTCCACCTTTAAGAACAGACATTACTGCTTATTAGTGTGCAGTATGCACACTGTGTACTGATGTAAAAAATGGTAGAGGCCACAGTCCTGTAAGTACTGACACTGGTAAACCAGCTGAGGGCACCATTGTCTTCCAGTCTTTTCTCAGTAATCTTCAATCTCTTCTACACTACTCTTTTCTTTATTACTGGCACCTTTTATTTTCATGTTCTGTTAATTTCTCTTTGCTTATATTGAGTATTTATTCATTTCATTTTTACAAAATGTTATCTTTGCTTGCCCCAAAATGAGTTTTTTACATTCAGATTAATTTTTTTTTTTTTAATTTTCTGACACTTCTCCTCCTAATCAACGAATCTCCTGTATTTTTATTCCTGGTCTTCTCTTATCCTCTTCCCTCCAGGTCAGTCGTATCTTGTACAGTTTCTCCACAGCCTTTCGCCGTTCTTCTCGGCCGGCAGACATTCGGGACTCGGCAGCATCCAGTCCGCCCGACAGTGACCTCTACACCTTTACTGTCTCACTGGAGATCAAAGAGGATGATGGCAAGGGCAACTACAGGTACTTGGTCTGCACATAAACACACACACACACACACACACACACACACACACACACACACACACACACACACACACACGCTCAAATTAATTAATACAGGTTTTTCCAGATTTCTTTAGTATAATGGTGCTTTCTTTTCAAACTGTATGCTATCATCATCATTTTTAGACTGTATGCCCAAATTACATTGCATGAAAATATCCATTTAACAGCCGTTTAAAAAGCATTGTAACATGATGTTATATAGTGCCATTATTTCCTCTTGAGGAGAACCCTGTGATATATGTGAATTATGAACACTTTGTTATCAGCTCTGGGCTGTGGCGATCACAGATATCTTGATAGTTGGAAAGGTTTAATGTACCTCTGCAGTGCTGTTTTATCTGTTTGTTATTGTTCATCTGTAAAGATTATCAGCACAGTGAGACATTTTTTTCCATTTTCAAAAACCATAATATATCTAGTGTTTTAGAGATGGATTTTAATTTTCTTATCTGTTATCACCACTGAAATAAAGTGACAGTTTGTCCTGAAAGCACAGTAGATGCCTGTAATTCATAATACACTCAGGAGAAGGCTTGAGGGAAGGTGTTTTATCTGTTAGTCATTTGAAGATAATCTTCTTTTCAAAGGATATCTGGCAAAGAAACTGGCATTAAGACAGAGAGACCAACAACATAAAACACTTAAATTTCCATAAAAGAATAACACAGTACAACAATATACAAATAAAATGGAAATACACCCAAGTCTTTAATATTATATATAGTAACGCTCCTCCTTCCTCTCCACAGTCCAGTGCCTAAGGACAGAGATAAGTTCTACTTCAAGCTGCGACAGGGTATACAGAAGAAGGTTGTAATTTCAGTTCAGCAAATGTGCAACAAGGAGCTGGGCATTGAGAGGTGAGGATCACTGGAAAAAGAGACCATTCATAATAATGTATTTATTTTCCTTAACCATTTTTTTCAGAATGGGATTCCTTTTATCTGCTCTGGTCGAATGTCGGCGTCTTCCTTCTTTCTTTTGCTTTTTGGGGTTGTTTTCTGTATAGGATTGTCTTAACATATAATGTGTATTATGATTATTCTTGCAAGAAGAAATATGCTTGCATTGTCAGCTGTTTTTGGTGCTGTGCCACCAGAGTTGGGAAGGCATCTGTATTACAAGGACAAATGAAGTAAACTAAAGGAGGTAATGATGTAGAACTCCACAACATGCTGCTGTTGAACATGTTGAGTAGGAGTGCAGCATGCAGAATCTATAGTTGTGTTATAAACTTTATTATGACTGGAATGGCTTGCTTTCACAAGGACAGTGTACAAACTTATTGGTGACATACGTCAAGAAACCTGAAGAAGTTTAACGACCAAGCAAAGAAGTACTTGTATCCTTAAAGCACTTCTGGCTTCCTACAGTGTCCCTCATTTTATATGTTTGATTTGATTTATTCTTTCAAGCATGTAAAGACAGTTGATATGTCAACACACATAATTTTACACATATCCAACAAATGCTAATTCGATATCAATTTGCTTATACCTAGTACATGCTTGAATGGAGTAGGAAGAAGTCAGACTTATCCAGTCCTACCCCATGACATCATCTTACCATCATTGGTTTGCAAGCAGTATCTCTACATAGATAATTCTCTTCTACACCACACAAGTAATATACTAAAAAAAATTATAACAGAGTGTTAACATTCTTACATAATTACATTCTTAAATAATTATCTCCTACACCACACAAGTAATATACTAAAGAATTATTACAGAGTGTTAACATTCACCACACCCACAATGTTCCATCTAATTAATCATTAAACCTGTTTAACCTGTTAAACCATGTATCTTGATTGACACATACCTTTATATTTATGTTTAAACTCATCAATTCTATTACTATTTTTTATGTCCACACTTAAATTATTCCATAGTTTTACCCCACTTATAGAAATACAAAATCTTTTTTTGGTTGTACGTATAACATGAATTTTTAAATTTAACTGACCCCTTAAATTGTATCCCCCTTCCCTTTCATTAAATAGTTTTTGAATTCCACCAGGTAATAAATTGTTCCTGGCTTTATACAAAAACACAGCAGTCTTATATCCCACTAAATCAAAAAAGTCCACTCTACTGGACTCAACTGTTCTACTCTGTCTACTCCACTTCAGTCTACCAGTTCACTTGACTGTGCTTCAGACCACTTCAAGGATAAGCTCACTTTATTTTAATCTGCATTTCCCGTATCACCTTCTCTGTGGTACACATTCAGGGAACAAGAAGTTGTTACCGGGGCAAGGGTTTAGCCTCTGAAAGAGTTCAGAATAAATGTAATGTCAGTCAAATGGTTTGTCGTGCTTCTCTGAGTCAAAGATTAGGCTTGGGCTGCAGGCTGAGGCTACCTACCCAGGCCTAATCTTTGCTTTCCTTCTGACTCAGAGAAGCATGACATTACATTTATTCTGAACTCTCTCAGAAGCTAACCTTTTGTTTTCCTGAATCTCTACAATTAAAGTAATGATAGCAAAACCACTGTTAAAAGAAACAGAGCAGGTTCCAAAAAGCAACGTTATCATCACATCACCCTGCAGGAGCAGAAACAGCTCTAGTTAAGAGTTATAACTCTGTCTTGCTCTAGGTGAGTCTGGGGCAGAGCCTGCATTGACCCTTGAGCTCCCACTGGCTGCACCCTCCGGCCAATCGCAGACTGAAAAAGATGCATACAGTTAATGACATCACAGCTTCCTGTCCATTGATACACTTTGATCCAAGGAGAAGAATAAAATGTGCTGATCAATTCTGTTCTAAATCATCAATAAAAGCATTTAACCGTATTGGCAATCAGAGAGGATTTTATGTTTGTCAGTAAACAAACAATTTGTGAAGTTGTGTTTATCACTAGATTTATACAGAGGAATAACCTTTGCAATTTTCATCTTGTTAGGGAACTGCCCAAGTCGAAATGACGTTAAAAATATGGGTTAATGGTTTACCTATCTCCTTAATTACCCATTTAACAGTTGTCATGGTGATACCATCACTATCACTAGATGTTTTGTTACCACATTTATTCACTATCTCTATAATTTCCTTTTCAACTATGGGCTTCAAGAACATAGAACTCATGTTCCTTTCAATTGTATTATTATTTATAGTGACGGATGTATCATCTGTACAAATGCTTCTTGCTAA